CATAGGCAAACTGGGCCCTCCAGATGTTTTGGGACTACAACTCCCATCATCCCTAGCTAGCAGGACCAGTGGTCAGGGATGAGGAGAACTGTAGTCTCAAAACATCTGGAGGGCCGAGTTAGCCTATGCCTGGGCTAGACGCTTGGCAACGGGTTTCTGATGAGATTCATAGAATCATAGAATTGTAGTGTTGGAAGGAACCACAGGGTCATCCACGCAAACTCCCTGCAATGCAGGAATCTTTTACCCAAGGTGGGGCTCAAACCCTTGACCCCGAGATTCAGAATCTTATGCTCTAGCAACTGAGCTAACGGCATTCATTTCATTTATCCAGTGATGGCCAAACTTGGCCCTCCAGCTGTTTTGGGACTTCAGTTCCCATTATCTCTGACCACTGGTCCTGTTAGCTAGGGATGATGGGAGTTGTAGTCCCAAAACAGATGGAGGGCCAAGTTTGGCCATCGCTGCGATTTATCAATTTGCCCATTTTTCAATAATAACAGTAACAATAACAATGCATGTTAACTTGTGTTTGTGGTTCAGATGGATAACATGCCCTATGCAAAAACACTTCAAAGCAGGCAAGGGCAGCAGCTGGTAACATTTTGGCTTGGTGAGGCTGCAAGTTTTAACTTGCTGTTTGCATCCCAGCAGCACTTAGGAGAGTGAACAGAGTACTGTACAATTGTCTCCTATAAAGAAAACTCAATTATTTTTTGCACATCTTTTATGGACAAGGGGGAAACTTCCATGTAAGATTGCCTTCAGCCCTGTATCAGTAAGTTTTTAATGTTTGACATTTTATTGCCTTTTTATGTGCTGGAAGCCAGCCAGAGTGGAACCCTGCCAGATGAGCAAGGTACAGTCCTACCTCATGTTACATTTGCTTCATGTTATGCTTTTTCAGGTTACGTCCCACGGCGACCCAGAAGTACCGGAAAGGGTTACTTCCGGGTTTTGCCGCTCGTGCATGCGCAGAAGCGGTGAATCACAACCCGCACATGCGCAGACGCGCTGCTGTGGGTTGCGCTCTTTTCATGTTGCGAACAGGCCTCCAGAACGGATCCCGTTCGCAACCAGAGGTACCACTGTATTATGATTAAGAAATTAAGGTAGACACCTATTGATGTAAGTTTTGGAATTTATGCATTCATTACATCATAATGCATCCACTGCCAAAAATACTATACGCACAAACACTTTTAAAATGCTTCTAGGCTGAAGGGACATTCTTTCACCTCTGGTGGACCTGTCCAAAAGTGAAGGCCTTCTGGGAAATGATTTACAATGAGCTAAAAAAGGTATTTAGGTATACCTTTCCCAAGAAACCAGAGGCCTTCCTCCTGGGCATTGTCGGCCAGAAGGTGTTAAAGAAGGATAGAACCTTTTTTATGTATGCAACTACAGCAGCAAGAATTCTTATCGCAAAATATTGGAAGACACAAGACCTACCCACGCTGGAAGAGTGGCAGACGCAATTGATGGACTATATGGAACTGGCTGAAATGACTGGCAGAATCCAAGATTTGGGAGAAGAAACAGTGGAAGAGGACTGGAAAAAATTTAAGGACTATTTACAAAAATATTATAAGTTGTATGAATGTTAAAAACTGCACGATTTGGAAATTTTAGCTTCAGCAATAAAATTCCTGAAACAGGAAATTAAGTTACAAGTAAGAAAAGGTTGAAATTTAAAGTATTACTATGGTCGATTTAAGGTACAAGTAATTGACAAAAAGTTTTTAAATTTAAAAATATAATATTTGAAAGGTACAAAACAAGATGTGAAAAAAGGTAATAATTTGCTGACATTTTTATTGTAAAGAATGCATGGTAGGGGAGATGTGAGGAAGTCCGGTTGGTTACGTAAAAATGTTTTTGAAAATTGGATTTTTTCTTTTTTCTTTCTTTTTTTCCTTTATTTCCTTTCTATGGCTTTTATATCTCTGTTTGTGTATTTGAAAATGTAATAAAAAATATTTAAAAAAATAAAAATAAAATGCTTCTAGTTGCACTGAGTTTTCTCTCTCTAGTTTTATTTATTAAACTTAAGTTTGCCAACCGAAGATCTCAAAGTGACTTACAGCAATAAGCATGCGTGCGTGCGTGCACGCACACACACTCTACTGTAAGGGAAGAAGAAACAGTGGGAGGAATAATGCAATCCATCAGTATATCGTCTAATATAAGATTTACGAGTAAACAACACACCCACCATATAAATCATAACAAACAGCCTTAGCTATACTCAAAAGAATAATCAAATAATACTTCTGCTCACTAATTAGCAGATAAACAGTCACCACTCCACCCCCCCCCCAAAAGTCTAGTATCAGGCCAGCTTGAAATGTGTTTGCAGGTTAGCACAGATAAAAATAAACTGGACTGAAGAAACTGGATGGAAAGGGGGCAATCTTTTATTTAAAAAGGGGTGGGGATCCCTTTGCATATAAGAGCAGCTGTGCTGGATCATGCCAAAGGTCCATCGACTTCAGCATCCTGCTTGTGCCCTAAGCAGGATATTCAGAGACAGACTACCTCTGAACCTAGCGAAGGAACGATATCTATACATTATAAGGAACAACCAGGTTCAGAAACAAGTCTACTTTAAATATGCTGAAGTCAGGGCGACTAAGAACAAAAAGCCCCTCATTTTTCTGCTGCAGTCATATTCACTCCGCATTCCCTATTGCCCTTCAAGTAAGGGGGAAAAGGAAGCCTTCCACCCATAGCAAAGGAGAAAAAAGTGTTGCCAATTTGTCCTCCCGAAAGGAAGCATGTGGAAAGTTCTCCCCCTGCCCTCTGCCTTGTGGCCATGAAATGAAATAAAAACAAATCTTTTCTCTCTCTGTCTTCCAACATCTCTCTCTCACTGCAAGTTAGATTGTTGGCACCTGTCTCAGGAGACAAGCCAGCTAGGGAAGAAATAAGGTACGTATACAGATTTGAAGAAGCACAGTTCTGATTGGCTTAAGGTGGGTGATCAGAGACACACACACATTATCTTTTGTGCCTGGGGACTTGCTGGCCTGAGAGAAACAAAAGCAGGATCTTTAAGAAGGAAAAACAAAGACCTTCCCTGTTGATTTAATTATTTGCAATAAAAACAAAAATGGAGGGGGGGGGAGAGACTTCATCCACCCATTCCAACTACAGACCTAGAAGGCTAAGCTAGGAATCATGAGATTCTTCAGGTTTCAAAATATGCATTTGCTTCCCAATCTACCCCAGAACTCTTAATTTTCATATTTAAATTTTATCAGATAACTATTAATAACTTTATAAATAAATAATATACAAATATGCATATGCTTTGGCAGAGTTATTGTTTGGGGGGGTTGTTTTCTTTTTTTGCTGTTATTGATAGTAACTTTTTGTAGCTGTGTTTATGATTTATGTGGACATTGTTCAGTTTTGTTGTGTACTCTTTGATGTGCTTTATTTACTGTTTATAAGTATACTCACTTTTGTAATTATGTAATTCTTTTCATGTTGTAAGGCACCCAGGACATGGTTTTTAACTGCAGAAAGGCGGCATAAAAAATGAAATGGTGATAATGATATTTTCAGAAATCCCAAACCCAATATAGCTCAGCAAATTGCGCAATAGTTGTACAATAATAGACTGTTATTGAGCCAGCCAAACAGGCTCAGCTACAGAATTAAGAAGACTGCTAAAATAACGAGCGGGTTTTTCCCTAACCTTAAAAAAAAGTATACCTCTTTCCGCTAAACTTCCTCACTTCCGCTTGAGATGAACGGAATTTATGGCAAACTGTTGCTTTGGTACCCATACAGGTTGCCCAAGTCTTCGAATAACAGATTTTGTCCGCCATTACAACTTAGGGCACGAAGACTTCAAGCCACGGCGAATAAAGGGGAAAATGAGGCTGGAAAGGTAAGGGCAAAGTGGCAGCCATGTTTCTTATGGTCACTATAACTTCAAGAGCATAGGAATTCATAAACTTTGGCGGCCATGTTTAGTAAAGGCAGAAGGGGTTTCGAAAACTATCGCAACGGAAGAAAGTCAGCGTTTAGCCGGACGTCGCGCTAAACGAATGTGTGGCATAGAGAGATGAAAAAGGGTAGAGTAGCATGACTCTGTTGCCTGGATACTAAACTTCCCGGTTCATTTTGAAGTTTTCCTCCTCTCCAGGTCGGACTGCTCAGAAGCAGCCAATAAGATATTCTGCACCCCGAAAGATTGGGTTTCCCTTGAAAAAAGAATCAGCAAAGAATAAAATCCTGCTACTATTTTTTATTTTGGATCACAATGGTGATTGTGATCAAAATCGGGGGCTGCGCAGTTATTGAGCTTTCCCTGCCCCTTTTATTTCTTGTACTTGGTTGGTTTCGATTTCCAGGCAGAAAAATCCCATCCGCAGAAACGCATCTCAGCTCGCAGCATAAGAACAGAAACCACCTGGCTGGATCAAGCCAATGGCCATAGGAGCCAACTCCTAGGGGGCCAATGTCCCTTTTGAGCCCCCAATAAAATATTTGAGAGGTACCGCCCGGCCCTCCTAACATGATTGGCATTGCCATTCAAATAGTCTGGGTGTGCCTTGTTATGTGATTGATTATGGATTTTATTCAATTGCCCCCCCAAAGCCCAGCATCCTGTTCTCACAGCGGCCACCAAGATTTTTTTTGGGTGGGGAATCAGCAAAACAAGTTTCAGAGCACAGGTTAACCCTCCTGGGGTTTCCAGCAACTGCCATTCAAAAGCATTCCTGCCTCCATCGGTTTTATAGCCGTTTTATAGCCATTGTGGCTAGTAGCCACCGAGCAGCCCTCCAAGAAAACGTGATTAAACCTGCAGTCAGTCAAAAGCAGAAGCCTAGTTGCTCCTCCGTCCCTCCCCCCAGCCTTTCTCTGTAGAAAGTCTCGGAATATAGGCATCGGTCTTGTCAATCTGAGTTTTGGGCGCTACGGTTCCACGAGCGACCGCCATTTTAACTAAGGCACCTGTCGCTTTCCGAAGTTGGGCGGAGAAAGAAAGAGAGTGTGGGAGGAGCCAGACGGGATTGGCCGAGCCGCCTCTGTCGTCATCGAAGGGCTGCTTCCTGTGGAGCAACTGCCGGAGGCCGGAGGCTCGGCTGGGTCTGCAGGTGAGAGTCCTGGGAGGAAGGGCGCACCTGCGACGACCGGGGGGAGCGGGTGGCGGGGGCGGGGAGTTG